CAGCCCACCAGACCCACGCGCCCAGGAGTGGGATATTTAATACGAGTTAACAAGTTAACACAGGTTAAATACCGATACGAAGGGCGCGTCACACCGGGCGCACTGGCAGCACGCGTGCGTATCATCCGTGCTGCGTCCACTGTCCTTGTTCAGCGTGCGTAGCGAAACGGTTCGTACGTACATGCGAACATCAGCACGACATTACGAAGGCAGCCGATGCATGCCGTGCATAATTTATTTCATCCCAGCCCACCACTCCCGGGAGCAAGCATCGGTCGGTCGACCGGCGACCCGCGCGGCGCCGATAAAGGCGCCCGTCGGACTGACTCGATGCTTCGAGGGCTGGAAGCCGCAGACGTCTCCGGCCTTCCAGCCCACCAGACCCACGCGCCCAGGAGTGGGATATTTAACCTACTTGTTACGGCTTAGCGATGAGCTGCGACCTTAGGTCTTACAAACACTATGGCAAGGGCCATTCGTACGGATTAACCTACTTGTCACGGCCCAACAATGAGCTGCGACATTAGTCTGTGACAAGGGCCACTCCTACGGATGAACCTCCTCGTTACGGATCGATCCCTTCGCTTCGCTGTGTGCTAGTGTGGTTCAGTCGAGAGTTTGTTGTCAAAATATTTGGCCTTGCGTTGAGACTGAGTTCACTTAGATCGATCTAGTTCGCCGAATAAATCATCGAGTCGATAACGTTGGCATGGTTCTGAAACGTTTTTTTCGGGAAGTTAGAGCCACGAATCGTGGCCTACGACTGGTAGTTGTCATTGACAACTTGCCCATACCATGACGGTATTACCATCTCAGTCTTTTTTCTCGGCAAACACCCGGAGCTCACAGAGTGGCTCGGGAATAATGATACAATACTCGTTTCATTCGTATGAAAAAAGCGTGTCGTAATCTCAGTCTTATAATGGACGTCCTTTAGGAATACCCTTCGTTAAAAAAATGGAACCTGTCGAACTCCGTCAGGCTGCGCCCCCAGTCTCCCCGGCAGCAGAGATGCTGAATGTCTTGGGTGTTCCGGTTGATATCGGGCCTTGTCTCGTTGACTGGCTCACCAGAGATTACCTAGATCGACTCGAGTTGATTTCGAAGATAAGTGAGAGCGACTGGAAGTCTCTCATCGAAACTAACTTGGCGCTTCAAGAAGGCGACGTGGGCAGAGACTTCCCACGGCTCGATCCTGCTCGAGCACAAGCAGCCAAGTTGTTCGGGCTGGCTATGTCTGACGAGGCTCGTCGTGTGCTAGAACAAGGATACGCGCAGACGAAAGCTGCTACGGCCTCACCGGATTATGGTGCATTGAATTCGGTAAGAACGGCCAATGCGACACTCGGCTACCTTAGTCCTGACCTCCTCCCCGATGTGAGAGTCTTGAACAATATGATTAAGTCGCCTGCAGCTTACGTTGAATTCAAGAACTTGCAGTCCCATGCGAGTCCCATGCAGGGACGACAACGAAGCAACGCATCCGGCCCACGGTAACTGGGTCAGTAGTAGTGGTTTTAGAGGAGGTGAAAGAGGGCAAGGACAAAGAGAATCCTACCCCCAGGTTCAGCATGGGCAAGTGGATGATGCAGTTCGCCAGATATTCAACTGCACTTATGGTCGTAGATCCTGAGTGCGCTCAGAATAGCACCGTATTTTCGAGGTATCAACTAGAGATTGGCTATTTGGCTGATGAGTCATCTTGTCGCGATGCTCTTGAGGCCGACGCTAAGTATCGAAGGTCTATCTCGAAGCGAGTTATGCCGGGTATTCCTCTGTGGAGCTGCTTTACCGAGGGTCAGTTCAGAAGTTTCTTTGATAGATGCTTATCTGAGGCCGCAGGGAGGAAAGCGTATCGAGATGCTGCAACTTCTTCCTGGAGTTATAAGGGTGAAGGATACGGTAAAGGCTCTGGAAAAGGCGCTGGCAAAGCAATGAGCAAGGGTGGCAAGGGCCGCGAGGGTGGTTCGATGACATCCTGGTCATCTAGCGACAACTCATCTTGGCATCAAACTTGGGGACCGAAGGATCAGAATATCAAGAGAGGGTCCGAAAGCTACCCTCTGGCTAGTGCCGCCAAGAAGACGAAGGCCGAGGGACACTGATGATCAGTGCTTAGTGACTGACCCTAACATAGACGTGTGTTTCATCGTGTGTCGTTTCAGTAGTTTTCTTTCCGTTTCGTGACATTGCTCTGTTTTGCGTGTCTATGAGTGTTACAATAAGATGTAGGAGTCAACGGAGTCATACTAGTATAGTATACTACACCTGACGTGCCCATTACGAATCCTGATTCACGATGGCATACGAACTTCGTATTACGAAGGATACGTGCAGCCGGCATGCAAAAACTCTAACAAAAAAATTGAAGCATGTAGTAGAGGTCAAATGAAAACCTAATGTAGTTTGCTTGTTTTTATTCGATGGCTAAACGTCTGCGTAGTGAGGCAGCCCTCCGTCGCCGCAAGGCTAAAGAACGCACTAGGCGGGCATTGCTGCGGGACAAGACCCCCAAAGCGTTCAAGCCGTCGGGGCGTGCATCGGTGCCGTCTATCACTTCACCTCTCGGTAAAGAGACTCCTTTTGGCCCCCATAAGAGCGTTGATCATTCGGCTGATCGACGTGCTATCGATCTCTACAAGACGGCTTTTGCTTTGGCTGAGTCCGAGCAGGTCGAATTATTGGAGAAGATTTCGGATGGAACAGCGGAAGCCTCCAAATGCGATTGGGGTAATTTGAAAGGATCTGAACACGTTGACGAGAATATCGGTACTGTGGACATAGAAATCGGTACTGGATCCCGACAGTGAATGAGGTCCTACCCATATACAGTCAGTCTAGTTCTGTTATCACGCTCAACGTGATCCTAATGCTCAACTTGGGCACTACTACTAGTACTACTGGCAGAACCCAACCTTCCCCCTGGCAAGGCTGAAATTGCCATATCCTGGCTCTGCTCCGAGCAATATATTGATACTATCGCCGGGACGGTGACTGAAGATGATGCTCCGAGCCTAGATAATCCAGCAGCGGAATCCAGAACGTGATCCCCGAAGGATTCAAGCATCGAATTCGCTGCAAGTAGAGCCTACTGTGAATGTCTTGGAAGGCCACGGGGTCGCTAGGTCATTGTATTTTTAGGTCTAAATCATTTCTAGTGACGGTAGACTATACTAGTATTGCGGCTCACATTATGCGAGGCTACCGGTTAGATAGTCTATTAGCGTGGCAACTCACTGGTAGTGAGTCACTGTCTAAGTTAGTAACTTGAACTTCAAAAAATGCGGGTCTCGCATTCTTTGCGCAATCGGAGGGAATTCCTTGGTCAGAAGCTACCCATTGGGTAGTACCCGATAGCTAGAAACCCAATAGCGGAAAGAAGAAAAGCACAGCGTTGAGCGAGTATCGACATTACCAATGCACCTCCCACATCTTGCGTATTGTTGTGTAACGCAACTTGTGTTTGAGCTCGCACAGAAGGAGAAACTTCTGTGCCCTACTCGCCGTGTCGTATTGTGACTTTACTTGGCCACTGTTTAAAGCCAATTGTCGGCACTTGAAGCGTTTGAGAGACTCTATTTTGAGATTTCAAGGCACTCTAGACGGGTGACCTCCGTAAATTGGAGTTTCCAGTTCCCACTCAAGTCAGGTCATGGTCTATATTTCCGACATTCTTGTCATACCAATGGTTACAATGACGAAATTGTCGGGGACTACTAATTCCTCCCGACCAAACTGTCATTATGATACAATAGCTGTGAAATTACACGCCTGTGTCACATAGCTCGTGACATATAGGCGCGCGCCATCTCGATCCACTCGGCACTGCCGAGTCGGCAGAACGAAAGAGAGTTTGCTATTACCTTTCCTTCAACTGGCGATCTAATGTTCAATAGCGAGTTGCTATTGGCGACCTCAACACTGTGGCTCGAATCCGTTGGGACACTTCATTGCAAGAGTTCCAAGTCTTGAACAGCTCGCGAGTTGAACTGTCGTTTCAAGTTGAGCTATTTAGCTACCTGATGCGATCCAGCTAAAGCGTCGAGTCTTCAAGCTCTGTACGAGATCGAGCAGCGACTTAGAGAGGAGTTGCTGCTAAATCAACGAGTGAGGCGGCTAGACGTTGCTCTGAGTCTGCGGTGAAAAAAGTGCGGCGTCACGAATGCTGCAGTAGTCGTTGCATTGACGGGTTCGACACGGAGCTCCTCCTGGATGAACGCAAGAAGTTTTCGTATGTGGAGGCCGGTACATCGAGGAACCGGAATGGTCGAATGGAATACTTGTTTGAATTCTGGCGCGACCATGGTATGATAACGAAGAAGGACTCTCATGGTGGAGATTTGTTCTTCTCATATATGGGACTATGGTCTGCTGGAACGCCTTGGTGCATTTCCTGGGCGTCAGCAAATCGCGTATAAGCGAGGTGTCGGATATAAACCGATGTGTGTTGATTTCTTTAAGATCTAAGGATAGACTCCGAAGTCTTCAAGGAATAGCTTCCTCAGTTGATAGATTTGCCGGACGTTGTGTTGTCCGCGATATGCGCGTACTAGTCGATTCGATGTTCGAGACATCGTGGTTTAATATCCTGCGAGGGTAGCATGACCTTCGAGAATACTTCTGAAACCTGACCTCCCGCATACGACACGCCGAGTAGGGGCACAGAAATTTCTCCTTCTGTGCGAGCTCAAACACAAGTTGTGTTACACAACAATATGCAAGATGTGGGAGGTGCATTGGTAATGTCGCTCAACGCCGTGCTTTTCTTCTTTCCGCTATTGGGTTTCTAGCTATCGGGTACTACCCAATGGGTAGCTTCTGACCAGGGGATTCCCTAAGTAAATTTCCTTTCGATTGCGCAAAGGATGCGAGACCCGCATTTTTTGAAGTTCAAGTTACTAACTTAGACAGTGACTCACTACCAGTGAGTTGCCATTCTAATAGACTATCTAACCGTTAGCCTCGCATAATGTGAGCCGCAATACTAGTATAGTCTACCGTCACTAAAAATGATTTAGACCTGAAAATACAATAACCTAGTGACCCCGTGGCCTTCCAACAGGGGCTGCAAAACATTTACAGTAGGCTCGACTCGCAGCGAATTCGATGCTTGAATCCTTCGGGGATCACGTTCTGGATCCCGCTACTGGACTGTCTAGGCTCGGAGCATCACCTTCAGTCACCGTCCTGGCGATAGTATCGATATATTACTCGGAGCAGAGCCAGGATACGGCAATTTCAGCCTTGCCAGGAGGAAGGTTGGGTTCTGCCAGTAGTACTAGTAGTAGTGCCCAAGTTGAGCATTAGGATCACGTTGAGCGTGATAACAGAACTAGACTGACTGTATATGGGTAGGACCTCATTCACTGCCGGGATCCAGTACCGATTTCTATGTCCACAGTACCGATATTCTCGTCAACGTGTTTCTGCTGCTCACCAGCTCGAGCCCCCTCATCAGCTGGTGGAGATCAGAAATATGTTCGATAGAGCGACAAATGAGATACTTAGTACCAGAGCTGGTGAAAGTCTTCTGAAATGGATGCAGCTCGACCGTGAGGAGCAGGGCAAGCAGCAGCATGTATGGGATGAACTGGGCCCAACGTTAGCCACCGCTGCTACCTCTTTAAGAGAAAATCTATGTGATCTACTACACGTGTCAGAGTCGTCAATTCAAGACTGTGATTTCCAAGCCGGGCTTCTGAAAGCTATGCTTTTGGCAACTGCGGACGAGTCCGAAGACGTAGATTCTACGTCGTAGAACTCTTGGATGAAATAATGTTGCAAGGCGGAGTGAATATCGGCATCACATCCCCAGTTAGTTCCAGTGGTTGGTGGCCAAACGCTCGGGACGTTAAGAGTTCTGACGACGGAGAAAGTTTGAGCTACTTCGCCAGCGATTCATGGAGGAACTATAGCTCAGCGAGGCTGATGGAGGGCAGTCTTATGGAATATTGTGACAGCGAGATCGCTAAGGGTTTCATGGAAGACTGGGATTCACTTCCTCGGGAGGCCGAAGTCTCCAGAATTGCGGCTATCGAAAAGAAGAACGGGAGCATCCGTGTGATCGATGATCTTAAGCGTAGCGGTGTTAACTCCCGGGTCCAGATGGAGAAAACCATCGAACTGCCAGGTGCGTCCTGCACCGCTTTTATCTTGCAGAGTATTGGGGATTACCAGAGAGCCAGGGGACAGCACGCGGACATCGTCTGTATCGAGACCGACGTTGCCAGTGCGTTCCGTCACATCCCAATAAGGGAATGTGATGGGAAATATTGCGTTAACTGCATCAACACTTCCTCAGGTCAGAGGTTTGTGGGCCACAAATTGTGGCCCATAAACGTATCCCATTCGGCCTAAGGAGTTCGCCTCTACTCTGGGTTAGACCCTGCGCATCAGTTGCGAGACTAGCTAAACGTATATCCGCGTGCGTCGAAGGACGTCCCGAAGGTCTACAACTATATATTGACGATCGCAATTACTTCTGTGGAGCTGCCCAAGCTCCTCATCGTCTAGTGGGCCTTCTCCTCTTGGACGCGGTTCTAGGTGTAAACGATTCCTTCGAGAAAATCCGAGTCTCGCAGAGTCCAGCTATTCTCGGATTCCAGTGGAACCTCAAGACTGATACTGTTGGGGTATGAACGCCGAAATCAGAGGTTATCATCGACGATATCACTAATCTTCTTGTCGATGCATGCCATGGTCGTAAAGTCTCGGTGCCGTTATTGAAGACTGTGACAGGTCGTCTCTCCTGGCTGTGCCATGCCGCAAGGCTTCTAAAGCCAAAGCTTCGTAGCCTCTATGCTTGCAAAGCAGTAGCTGAGGGGCTCGACTGTCGATCAATACGATTTAGTGATGAGGCGAAAAGTGACTTGCAGTTTTTTCAGTCCATCCTCAGTGAGAGTCTGAATGGTTCGGCACCCGACAAGGGTCTTTGCTCCTTGGCGAGAATCCCCGCAAGTTTCCTATTGGGATGGGGCGCCAAACTTGGTGGATACTCGGAGGAGTCGGATGTCTCGGTTGTCATTTCCGACTCTTCAACCTCCGCCCTGGGTGGTATAGTCATAGGTGAAGGTAAAGCCTACTGGTATCGCTCGGATCTAGCGACTCCCGATGCATCGAGGATCAGCAAGTTGGTTGAACCTATCAACTGGGACAGGTGGGAGTCTGGGGACATATGCTCTCTAGAACTATTAGCCGCCTTATGCGGCTGTGCAATCGTCCCTGCTGATCGTCCGGTCATCATTCTCTGTGACAACGCAGCAGCTGTCGCAGCAATCAACAAGCTCTCTGCGAAGTCAACCCGGATGAACGATCTCCTGAAGAGTCTTGCTAGTGCTTGGGGTTACAGCAAAGGTGTCCGAGCTTACCATTTGTCTACTGACGAGAATTGGTTAGCTGATGCATTATCCCGGCAGTCCCTTGACGAGATTCGGAAGTACATGGTTGGTGCTAGTATGAGTGAGGTCGACCTAGGCCTTATTCTAGATAAATTGGAAGAGTCTGTCACACAGGTCTCGCCTTAGCCGGCTGACGCTCAGCTGTTGATCTCCGTTGTGCCTGTTTCGGAGTGATAAGTTATCATAGTTTGACTCAAGCCTGTCTTGCGTGACGTGGAGAGTAACCTTGGCATTGTGAGTTGAATTTCGGATACCATATTCCATCGATTCTACGCAGTTGAGTCTGTACCAAAATGTCTGCTCCTGGGTGGGTCATCGAGCGCTTGCAGGGTAAAGAAGCCGTTTATTCGACCATCCCATGGAAAATTAGAGCTGTGGCTCCCCAAGAGCTTCAAAGTCTCGCCGCACCATATACGCGGCCTACGCGCCTTCCCCTTGGCAGTATGGTTGGGGCAACCCATGCGGGATCTCTTCAGAATATGGCAACCGAAGATACCCTGGCTTCTTACCACCGCCAAACTCGTCAGTCGCTTTCCCCAGCGATGGAAGCGATGATGCCACATCGGCCAAGGAAATATGATGAAGGAGACGCTATTCTCTTACTCGCACATGCGAGGGCTGGCACAACAAACGCGACCTATGCGTCGATACGACGGGGATATGAAAACTTTCTCATGACCAATGTGGCAGAGGTCAGTGGCGACATTCGACCATTTCCATTAAATATTTGGCTTCTTGCGAGATATGTGGCATATTTGTCTGACGTCCGCCAAGAGAGGTTAGCGAAGGCATATAAGACATCAACTATCCTGCAGTACGTGCGTGTACTATTGACGATTAACAAAATGCATCCAGCAACTAGGAACCTTACGGTTCAGGAGAATGAGATCTTACGGATGGTTCGAGCTGCGGTCGTAAGAGTCCGTGGTAAGCCTCCTGTGAAGCGAGCGGCCACGATGACTGTGAAACAATTACGCCAAGTCTCGTATACCGTGCCGCCGTCTAGAAGAAGATCCAGCACCGTAGCCCTCTTGGTCGGAGTGAGTGCATTACTAAGGATCCGAGAACTGTGCGAGTTGCGTCGGAGCGACGTGTCATTCACCCCCGACGAGACAGCCATGCTGCTACGCATCAAGTGGAGTAAGACCGATCCTGGAAGATCGGGGACGACGCTGCACGTAGGATGCGCTTGTACAACCACAGCCAAGACTCACGGTGCGACGGACAACTGGTGTCCAACTCACCGAATGCTGCAACTTGTGCGCGACATAGACCAATCTCCGAGGTCGACTCAGTCGTGCGGTGAAGGGATCTTCGGAGCAACTTATGAACAGTTATCTACGGACATACGGATGCTGGTTTCAACGGCGACGGGTTCAAGTGCTGGTTGCACGACTCACAGCATGAGACGCACTGGTGTGGTACTCCTTCACGAAGCTGGCCTGGACGACGTGCAAATCGCGGAATACGGTCGTTGGGCAGATACCCGGATGGTTCGTGACATATACAGGAGGGACAAGACAGGTATTGAACACGAGCAGATGACTTACACCAAACGAATGATGACGAGCGTGTAAAACCTACCGTTTCCCCGGCGCCGGTTCTGCTTTGTTGGAAAGTGTAACCTGGCGGTCCTGGCGGTTTCACCTCATGTAGACTTGGATGGGAGTATGTACAGATGGGAGATATCTGACGATGGTGACGCACCATCGGCTCGATGGTTAGCATCTTAGCTGCTCAACATCATCTAAGCCATCGTTAGACATGGAAGAGCACCAACTCCCAAGCTGCCAATAGCGTAAGGGTTGTGTGCTCTTCCCACACTCCCGTACCAAGGGTTTTTATTGAGAGCGCAGTGAACCGTAGCGACAGTAAAAACAGGAAGGAAGGGAGTGCACGCGTGCACTGCATTGTGTTCCCGGTTAATCGATATCATATTGCGTTTGCTGTGGTGAATCGATCGCAATACCCGCATAGGCATCAACATTCATCGCGATTCCTCGCGCGAATGGGCGCACCGAGGTGCGGCCATGAATCATTTTTTTTCTTCTCCTAGGTCGGGAGATGTCTGACGATGGTGATGCACCATCGGCTCGATGGTTAGCATCTTAGCTGCTCAACATCATCTAAGCCATCGTTAGACATGGAAGAGCACCAACTCCCAAGCTGCCAATAGCGCAAGGGTTGTGTGCTCTTCCCCTCCCCACACTCCCGTACCAAGGGTTTTTACGGGAAAAAACGCGAGAAACACCCCATCTCGCAGTAAAATCCGTTAAAAGTCCTCTTTATGCCACTGCCAGCTGTGCACCCACATTTCACTCCATGGAGTCACCTCACTCGCGGGATCCGTCTTACTACTCGCACTTCCACGTTGGGGCCTCGTGAGATGATCATGATCATCCCGTCAACAGCCATATGTAGCAACCAGCCTTGCGGACCCCTCTGTGAGGGATTGTGGGCGAGAGCTGAACGAGGTTCGAACCGGGGACCTCTCGATGTGTGGCCGAACAGGTTAACCAGTTCGACTATACATGCTAAAACTTCACAAAGTGCTGTATCGATACAGCTGGCATCAGCTCCGATAGGGATGGACAATTGAGGGGAAATATCAGCTAGCTAGACACCGTCACGCGCCACGAAATTATTTACCGAACCACCGTCACGCGCCACGAAATTAATCACAATCACTCAACACAACAAAGCCTCCCCGTTCGCTACAGAAGACCATCCGTAAGTGACGAAGAATTGGTAGGCATTGCTTCCGACGCCACCTCCCCTCGAGAGGGAACCCGCGATGGTATTTCTCCCATCTTAGATCGATCTCCACGCTCTGATGAAAGCACACTGGCCAGCAACGATGCACCTGGGGAAACGACCAAGACAAAAGTAGGGAAAATGTCTTATACAGTATGTGTCAATTTGATATGCGTTATTATAGTGAACAAGTTGTCGCTAGCACAAGCCTAAACGCATGTTCATAGTTATGGTTATATTGTATGTGCGATATAGTTTCAAATCGATTATGACTAATCTCGGAGAATAACACACATTTGCATATCAAATACTTTCGAGTTACTCGTCTGGTGACACCGCGTCACCATCACACAATCCGTGTCACCTCCAGCGCCTCGCCTTTTCTTCGTCCCCACTTGCTCTTCCTTGATGTGAACCCCAGACGAAGACATCGCTCCTCGGAAGATCTGCGAAGGATGATATTAGGCACAAACCGTTATCAACAATTGACTCGGAAAAAAAACCAAGAAATTCCCCGATAATTGCATAAAATCTGGAAAATAATTTTCCGCGTATTTCGTAATATCAAAATGCTCGAGTATTGACAACGACGTTTTTCGGGGGGTATCCTCGGTTGAACACGCGTTCGAAAAATATTTCTCTATGTAGTATCCTTTTTATGACTTACATTCTCGAAAAAGTATCAGTCGATCGGACATTTTTCTCTAGAGTGATTTTTTGAAGTCGAGAGTTCTTACCCCAGGTGTATCCCTGCCGAGGGTAGATCTCACTGAGGATCTGCTACTTCGACCTAAGATACTCCTCGTGCTCTGCCGCCGACTCATCTCAACTGCCAAATGCGATGGCGTTTCACCTAATTACAATCACCATGGGAAATTTTCACACGAAGTTTCCTCAGAATTTCGACAAATTATGGTAAATTTCTGTCGACCTCACAATACTCAACAACAATAAAATGGTAGGATAGTGTCTTTGACGTTTTTTCGAAACTCAGATCGTTCGATTGAGGTCCACACCACCGCTCCCTTCTTGAGCGCGGCCCAAGGAAGTCAACATCTGTCCGAAGAACTCCATAAGGACTTCATAATGCTCGTGAACGACAACAAGCCAGAAACGATGGGTTTATTCTTTCTCTTCACAGACCACGATTTCCGATTTCATGGGCATCCGGCAAAAGCACACACAATCGACTTCTCTCAAGCCGCTTGAGTGATTTAATTACTGTAGTCACAGGTGGTCATCACCGTACTTTTCCACTGAAGGGTGTATCACTACTCCCCACCCGATTTCAAAAGAGCGTTTCTCCGCTACTACGGCGAGTATAAGGCTGATAGGTGTTCCGGAAAGGTAAGGCAATTGCCCACAAGCTCTCGATAGGCCACACATCATCCAACTTCGGCGGATGGAACCATACAATATCATCCATTATACCACAGAGCGTGTCCGCTGGCAGCGAGAAAAGCCATAGCATAAGCGCTGATAGCGGCAGCAGTGACCTTCCTGATGAAATCTTCTGTGACACTGTGATCTCTGCAGTGTCCAGTTCTTGCGCGCTGGCAATGAGAGCCGTCTCGCCCACTTCGAACGCACCCATGTTGAGTGCACTAAGGAGGCAATTCGCCATGACAGCCTCGGTATCAGTAATATCAGATACGCTGCATGATCAGGAGTACTCGCTTAACAGAACTTTCACATGGGACGACCATCGGAATTACTTTTGACGGCATAGTGTCGCACTCAGCCTGTCGCCCATGAGTACAATCCACATTTAGTGGCCTTCGTTATCACACTCACAGCCTTCATATTTCAATGACAAAGATGAATACAAGGCTCATATACTGCTGAACGTAGATTTCAACTCTATCCAAATTCATCCTCTTCTCTCAGCTCCCATCAATATAGTCCAAGCCAAATCAACACAGGACCTCTATCTCTCCGCCCGACCGAATCACAGCTCTATTGCTGGACTATTTCCACTGCCTCTCGTTCTTCAAGCAGCTCGATGGAAGATTGGAAACAGCATAGGCTCGACGCAGCCTCTACGTATTCCTCACAATAAATCATCAGTGATGTCCTTGTAGACGACCGGTGTCACCGTTTCGTTGATACGAATCATGACGGATATTGCAGTCGCATAAAATTCCTCATCAACGTCATAATGATGAAAGGGTATACCAAAGTCAAAATCAGCGATGATCTGCTATATTTTTTGACATTTCTCGGCATCTCACAACAACACCTATAACAGTGCGGAAGTGCCCCTAACGAATTTCAAGGAAGAAGGTTTCCAGCACACAAAGTAATCACGAAAACGTCTAAATTCCCAGAAAAAAACTCACTTTTCCGCTTCTTTTTCCGATTTTCCTCCTCCAAAAGTCGGTGAGCTAGCTGCTCCCTGTCCGACTCCTTGGGTATAATAAAAGTATCTTCACCGTTTCCACCAGTAGAAGCACCAAGCTGCAGCGGTGTGCCTGAGACCGACAAAAGAAGTATCTCACCTCGAGCCGTGAAGGATGCAAGCCCGCCGTATCCCTCACTGCGAGCAAAACAGGCACCGAACGTCTCGGGGATTTTACTCAGACGTGGCTGATTCAATCCTCCTCTTATTACTTGCTATACGTCCATACGTCATGATCGGCGTCACATCCACACCGGGAACCTATATATTCATCATCATAAAACATCCGAAACGACGTCAATAATTTCGAACAAGTTGTCTATGCAAGAAGGCATTCACGCGTTTCCCACATATTTCATCAGAAATGCGGCAAAATAGAAGATAGTCCCCGACAATCGGAGAACGATTATACGCCAGTGTGACTGACAATCACTGTCACTCTAGCGTATAATCGTTATCACAGTAAACGCGTTCCCAGCTTCACACCCCTAGGAGTATACGATGCACCCTAACCTAGGGCATTAAAACACTAGCGACCAACATGGTTGTTCGGGTGGAAGCCTTTTACTGCAACAGACTTGTACTCTCATATCGCGACAAACGGCATTACATGTGTTACAGTTGAATAATTTTCCACTTTCTGATATAACATTCCATCACGAACACGAGCACTCAACAATTCAAAGGAATAGGAATTTATGCATCCAACAACAGGTCCATTACTACCATGCTGGGAGTTGCCATATATCCGCCAGGTTTACTCGGGTCAAACCGGCCGGCAACTGCCATCTCTGTATTATCGCGACTCCTCATGCTCTCCTCTCGAGCATTTGCACGATTCTCCATCTGGATCTGAGATATGTCAACACTCGAGCTATGCCAGCAGTGGTAAGCGAGATGATGGCGAACAAATGACAACCATATACTGAATTTCCACTCGGAATTTTTCACCCACTTTTACCACCGTTTTACCTCGGTTGAATCCCGTTCATAATCCGAAGTATGGAATCTCGTATTGACATTATCCGGTTTATTCTCATACATAAACGGCTGCTTCTGCATCCCATTACTATGGAATAACAACGAGTTACCTAAACACAACGGAAATCTTGCTAATCTTGCCTAATCTTGCATTTCCTCAACGTACGTGCTACTGCTGCTGACGAGTTCAAAGCGAGTGCAACTCCTTCAACTTTCTCCCCAAGTGCCGCTGCCTCTCGCTTATCGGCCAACATCGCCTGAGGAAAATTGTGATCGATTCCCTTTTTTGGTTTTTTCACAGCAAAAATTTGGAAAAAAATCAAACCCATTCAATAAATTCGGCGAATGAAAACCACAATGAAATATATTGGAAGCGGAATTTTTCGCCCGTGTAAAAACGTACATTATGGGAGTTAGCCTGGTCTTCTATCCAGCTTTGTTCCTCCCTCTTTTTGCTGAGATGTTCCTCGTACGCTGTCTGGAACGCCGCATTGTCCTCCGAACCGTATCTTAGGTCGATCATAGAAAGATACAAATCAGGTCCGAGATGCAAATAAAAAATTCCGAAAACAAATGTGGAAATTAACGAAAAATTGCGGAGCGACCGGAGCATATACCGCAACAACAGCACTTTCGCGTTGTGCGTGCGTGCAGAATTATTTCCACCCAGCTACCAGGGATTGCAGAAAATCGGAAACTCGAATACGCCCTCAGCTTCAGAAATATGAGAGGAAAATTTTCTGACGGAAAATGCCCGACCCGAGGATCGAACCTGAGACCTTATT